AAATATATACCGTTTTGTTTCTACAATTACTTGCTTTACGCATTATTCGCAATTATTGCAGTGGATTATACTTTTACCAGGTTGTGTGATGTTAATAAAAGTTTAATGTACTACATTTTTTGTAAAAAAATTAAAGTTATTTCTCAAGATTTTAAAATTAAACATTAAAAAATATTTACAAATTATAAGTCAATTTGCTTAATATGATATGTGCATGTAAAGCATTTAATATTATTTATGTTTTATTTTGCCCTCAAAACTCATTATGTTTAAAAGTTTTACAGAATTGTGCCTGAAGGACGCACACACATACATTACATAATATATAGCAATGATTCTTCCTTGAAGTAATCTTGTTTCTCGTTTTTGAGTTGATTGAAAGGAACTTCATACTATATCTTACTATTTACTAATATTATAAATGTGAAAGTTTAGATGTTTAGATGAATGTTTGTTACTCAATTATGCCAGAACGGCCTAATGGATCTGGATGAAATTTGGCACAGAGATAGGTTATTGTTTGGAATAACACACAGGCTATTTTTTATGCCGGAAAATGTACGATTCCCGTGGGATAGATTAGTTTTTACTAAAACACACTATATTCTAAATACATATAAGCGAAAAGTCATTCACTCTACTATTTAACCTATGAAACTAAAAGTTGGCAGGTCGGTTTGACTGAACTGACAGTTAAGAACTGATTTTGCGTCAAATTCAAATTAAGTAGTCTAAAACTATGGTTTATATGAAAGTCGTTATGTATATGTTTTTGTTGATAAAGTAAGTTATTTTGGTTATACATAAATCAACGCGAGCGGAGCCGCGGGCAGTGCTAGTTCTTTATGTTATTGCATTGACCAGTAATGAAGATAACACAAATAATTATATTACTAAAGATATAATTATTATTTTAATAGAATGCAAAAGTGAATAATTATATGATACGTTAATACTTAATTTACATAATATGAAAGGTGAAAAGATTAAAGTTAAATATAGAGCAGTTATGTAGACGAGTAAGAAGTCCGAATGAAACAGGTTTTACAAAAGCGGTCGTTGAAATAGAATTACACTGAAGAAAGGAAATAGCGTAAAGAAAACATCTATTGTGGTGAAACAGGTTTGATTACAAGTATGAAAAGTTAATTAATCCTACGCTTAGACTCTAAATATTATTTTTACGATTGTATCTCAAACTTAAAGAATAAGACGGAGCGTACAGAACATAGTGGTTGACGCTTAAAATGGTATTATAATTAGCAGCAAGGTATAAAAGATAATTAAATATAAAGATATTGAAAGCTGGCCGATCTGAGAAACCTACAAAATTTCAACATGTATTTGTTCGTAATCTTTGCCTTCATACCTTTATTTTAATTTTCTCGATTTTCGCAATTTTTCGAGCGACTTTTCAATTTCCCCCAAACTAAAAAGTTAGGTTTCGTACAAACTTTCATCCCCTATTTTATCCCCTTATAGTATGATTTCGAAAAATTCTAAAACACGTATTTATTATATTGAAGAGCATTTTATACTAAGTTTTTTTATCATAAATATTTTTTTGGGTTATATTATAACATGTTTTCCCGTAGGTACGAGTTAATCTCCCGCGATAAAAAGTAGCCTATGTCACTTTTCAGCCCTCCAAATATCTCCACATAAAAAATCACGCTAATCCGTTCCTCTATTTTGACGTGAATGAAAGACAAATAAACTTACAAACAAACACGCTTTCACATTTATAATATTAGTAAGTATGGATGATTTGAAAAAAATTGCCAAAAAGCTTTGTTAGCGTTATTTACTGTTCTATCTTACGTTCATATCTTATTTTATTAGTCTAAGAATCGAACGCAGCTTTTGATAGATATTCAAGTAAGAATTTACAGTCAAAACGCGTAAAGAACGATGATTTATTTGACAGACGTAGTTTCTAAAACTGTACAGTATTTAAATATAATGCTTGAAGATTGCTTGTTACAATACTCTGTTTATGAATTTCAACTATGTAATGAATTTATTTTATCATCCTAAACGTAATTATTTACAATAATTAATACTACATGTAAATTTGAAAGTATGTTTGTTGGTTTGTCCTTATTTTAAGAAATGATAGAGCAATCGAAGTGATTTTTCATAGAGATAATTTATGTGTTATACATACACAAACAGTAAGTCAGTAATAGGTAATTTTAAAACCCATATAAATAGACATCAAAGCTTGTCTTACAAGATCCTTCTTTTCTTAATTTTGTTTTTAATTTTTACCTGTATCAATTAGTTATAACTATGCATGAGATTTTGCAAGAAAATGTATAAATATCTTAATAATCTATACATATAATAAAATTGTAAGTAAGGCGAATCTGTACATTAAATATTTTTTGGAAGATTTCATTGAAATAGATATTATTATCGACACAGAGGCGGAATCTATAGTTTTTAGAATTTTTGTCTGTCTGTTTGTCTGTCTGTCTGTGACCGCATCGTTGAAAAATCACTGAAGGGATTTTGATAAAATTTAGTATGATGATAGCTGGATATCCGGGTCAACATATAGGATACTTTTTACAACGGAGAAATATATACTAAATAATAAAACGAATATAAACGTATAATTAAGTATATTTTTCTTATTTTCTTATTTAACGCATATTTAACTTTTATAGCTATCTTTTGAAACATAGAGCGCATTAAATCATTTCCTTTTTATAATTTACATACATATGATGATTGCAGCTTTTCTTAATCCACTGTAAATAGAGTCACGCTCAAAAGCAAGTTTAAGCATAAAGGTCAGCGTACTATGAAAGCTCCTAGATGTGCAATAAATTACATTAGTTCATCCTTGATATTTAGTCAAATATATTATTTTTCATAATAAACAAAACTAGAATGTAAAGTAAGTGTAGTAAAACGTATTAATTAATAATTGAATACATTTAAGTCACGTAAATAACTAGCGAACTTGGAACTAGCAGTTAGCAAATTCGTGATCCCATGGGAATTATTTTATAATTCGGGATAAACAATGTACTATTGAGTTTCCTTTAGGCTTTATGTTATTTGTTACATATGTACATATGTCAAATATAGTCATGGTTGGCTGTCGTGTCCATAAATAAATTTTGCTCCTTATTAGTATCCGGCAATGCCACCGGGCGTGAAGCCAAGAAATGCTTTGGGAGGGTGCACCTCAGTGGGTAGTGTACCATGCGAGTTGCAGAGTAGAATGTTGGGGCTACTCTATGGTTCTTGGGATCTGCCTTAGAAGGCCAGTTATCGGAGCAACGTGCGTGAGTGCGTAATCTTGCGACGCCCCATTAAGACGTGGGAGGTTTTGCTGGGCTTTAGTGGGTAATACTGGCCCTTCTAGCCGGTGAGTCCCACATAAACAACTGTATGTATACAGGTAGTATAAGTAAATGAATTTAGCAACGTTAAAAAAAGGTATATCCTTAGGTGCCTACCTGTTACTCCAGGTCAAAATCTATCTATGCACTTCTAAATCCATTTCTAGCCGTTTTAGCGTTAACGAGTAACAAACATATACACATATCCATTTTTATGTAATTATATCATAGTAATCCGATAAAATATAATCAAGGACTGTCAAAGTACATCGATAGATATCCAAAAAGCCAACAAGTAGATAATATGCATAGCGTATAAATATAGATGTATGTCGGCAAGCCACAAGTTCTACAAACTTGATTGATTTTATCGAATATCTTAAATTGCAGTCAACCGGACATTCAATATCTCAATTGTTTACAATTAGGGCATTCAGAAATAACTGCTATTTTGTTGTTAATATTCTTACATATAAGAAAATTCTATGTTCTTAGAACAATACAAGCAAGGCATATTGAAAGCTTTTTGTTGTATCTACTACAAGTGTTAATAAAAGTTATTTCATATAAACGTTCCTAATACATATACTATGAAATAATGTGTAAAATAAACACTGACCTTTTTTATACATTAAAATTTTTTTTACAATAATGGTTTAAACTTTAAAATAAGCAATAAAGTACCGACTTTAAAATCACTAAAAAGTTTTACCATTTTTTAAAAATTTATAAAGGTGGTCCTTTGATAATATTGCTATACGATATTATTTACTGTTAGCTATACTGATATTATATGTTCACATATAACTGTTATTATAAAAACAAAAATAATAAACCATTAGCATTTGTCATATTTTCCATAAATCATTTATGTAAAAATTTTAATCATTGATGACATTTTTTGCACTAGCAATATATATAGGAATGTGTGTAGGACCATGCACAATGGTAATTACCTTATAACGTATACTTATATAGTGATCAATGATATATCCTAATGTAACGTGATAGAAGATAATTATGAACATTGAACAAGTGTAACTAACTCACGTAATAAGGTTCAGTACTCAAATCGCTAATGTAAATCATGTTTTCTTTTGAATAACTTTACTTAATCTATATGGTTTCATACTACCTTTCAAATATCAATTTACGAATCTGAAATTAGGTTTTAACTGGATTAAGTTTTTATAAATAGTGGATAAATTATGCCGCAAAATGCTACGAAAAATAAATTAGGTACATTTTGATATTTAATTGTGCATTAAATCATGTTAAATTGAATTTTTTTTAGTTAACTAAATTATTGAAGAGGCATTTTAGCAAGCTTTGAGACAAAAATAAAAAATAAAAAAACAATGGTAATATAACAATAGTCTTACTTTTCATTCCCTCCAAAAATACAATCATGCATGTGCATTTCAAATACTATCGATATATATACCTATTAGTATGTATATAGCAAGTAAATCTATTAAGGATCATCTTCCTTTTGTAAACATTAAATGTAAAGACATAATTCCAGATGTTGAATTGCTCCAGTTCGCAACCATCACATCATTCCTCAAAGTGGGAGGGCCAGTATAAAGAGCGGGCGCGCCAACACAAGCCACAGACAACAGTCTTCAGCCAGAAGACACCAACATGAAGTACACGGTGAGTGTGTGAAGTGACAGTGCTGTGTTCGCGCGCTTTTTTAATTTGTGACGTTTATTTTTTTTTATTAATTTGGCCGGTGATACAAATTATAATTAATAATATTTAATTTTTATATTCAAACTAATATTTTTGTTTAACAAAACTTTTTTAAATTAGTTTTTGTAAATTAGACAAACTCATATTCATGTCATTCTAAAAATTTAACACATTTTAACAATTTATTATATAATAATGCTTCATTAATTAATAGACGCATTTGTACACTATAAAAAATCTTGACTAGAATAGCAATTTCCGTATTAACTGAACCATTTATCCAATTTTCTTGGTTTACTCGGCAATTTCCATTTCACTTTCTATGCATGGTAATAAGCATGCCAAACAACATAGCCATGGTGTAACCTTATAATTATACGGTATTTCCATTTCCTTTCAATTTTTTTTAGTAATTTGTATTTAATTCGAATACATTTCGGTGTAGATGTTAAAATTAATCGAAGGTTGTATTTTAGTCGATCTTTGCTGCATTTATAAAAAATACAATCGGTAAATAGTTTAATTTAATCTTTATCTAAATTTTGAATATTAAGCTATATGTTTACTTACTTCTTAAAGTTTATTAATTCCTATAGTATATGAGTCAGCATGTTTACATAAATGTAGTAATAATTGCGACACGAGAAGTAAACTCTATCGTAAAAGTACGCATCACTAGACGCCGTAACAACATACATGTATAATGCATTATGGCTTTATTACATCTTATATAAGAAAATTAAGAACAGGATGCACTTAATGTTTTAAATAATTACGTTTCTAAACTAATGGATTATTGTATATACATTTTTTATTCTAATTAGAAATCTAGGTGAGTTATTAAACTTAGAATAATTATTCATGTGTTATTCAACATTTAGAATTTAATATTATTCAAATTCAAAATATTTTATTCAGAAATTAAATTATGACATTACTGAACGTCATCAGCCTAGTAGGTACTACTTCGAAAAGAAAAAAGCCTCAGTCCTAAGAAGAACTGTCGAAAGAAAAGCTTTTATGTTTTAAATTGTCTAAGATAGCTGTATTGAAAATTCTTTATTTATTTTTTACTAGCGACTCACCCTCATTTTGCTCGGGTTCGTCCCTAGATTACTTCCCCATACAAAATTTCATCCCCATTTTCATCTCCTCACGGGATGATTTCCGGGATAAAAACTATCCTATGTCCTTCCTAGGGTCTCAAACTATCTTCTTACCAAATTTCATCCAAATCGGTGTAGTAGATCCAGAGCTTACTCCCTACAATCTCACAAACTCACAAACTTTACCTCTTTATAATATTAGTATAGATTACAAATTATAACTATGTAATACTATATAATCAAATTTCCCCAAATAATGCAAACTTTCGCGGGAAACTAATTAAAATATGCATATTGCAAAGTATAATTAAAAATAATTAAAATTGCCTAATCTGTAATAACTTAAATCCATAAACCATGACGATTATAATTATTACAAAACCATTAGATGATTCCTCGCTCGAAACCTTTACAAGTAGATACATATCGTAATATACATAGGTACATCGTGGTCTATATTACTTTTTCTTTTTTTTTAATAGAACAAAAGTATTACGTTAATAATATAAAAAGTGGATCTTCAAAATATTTTGGCTTAATTTATTAGCTATAGCTTCCTATTAATCTTACGCAATAACATGATTCAATGTATAAAGATTAGTATCGCAAATAAAATATTGTTTATTGCGGCGTTATTATTATGTCAGTTAGAGAGAGAGAGTTATACGTCAAGAGTTTTCCGTATTTGACTTCCGAAATCATTATAAAGATCTGTATACATTGCAAAAACACAGTTTAATATTTTTAGATAAATATTTTTTTAGAGAATAATTTATAACTATTAAAATTAAAACAATAGCATCTTTTATAATTATGAGGTAGGTAATGAATATCCACCGATACCGCCCGACTTCTGCCTAAATGTCCGGCATAATAAAAAAAAATACAAATAGTATATTTAATTCATCTTCTAAAGTTTTTCGATGTAAGCAGTTAAGTTTCTATACTAGATTTGGATTGCTAGATATCGGTAGCTTTTCTATCCAGTTGTCTGATATATCCAGTCCCGCAAGGTCGTTGTCCGTTATGTCGATGCAACGTAAATTATCAATAACTCGTTCTGATCGCGTCATACAAGTATAACGAGCATGTATACCCGTCTAAAGTCTAGACTTACGTTAAGGAATTTACACGATATAGTCTGATAAGAACCCGTTATAATTAAGATTGCCAAGGATAACGTAAAATTAAATTTCTTTTAATTGTTATTCAATATCTGTTTCAATTGCTATTTATAATTAAGTGTAGTTTTTAAGATATACGCACGTGCATATTACATAGATTTTTAATCGTCCGATTCAAAGCAAAACCCGTGCGTGATCTTTCTAGTAAAAAAAATACAATTAATAGTAACAATAGTTTATTAATGTTTTATAATAAATTAGCCAGATATCCGGTCATTCCTAAAAACGTGATCAATTCGGGATTTCCTTTAGGAAATAATAACATGTAATGCGAGGAAATATTAAATTATTGCCGATCATCAATCACTATATTATTATGCACGTAGCTTTACGTTTGAACTAGTTTAATACGTGTGAAGTGGCATAAGCCTTATTGTTTTGCAGATCATGCATGAGAAATAAGTGAGATAAGAAAGTTATTTCGTAATCGTGACGCGTTGTAGTGGACATTTTCTAGCCATAAACAAACTTAGTTGATTTTATTCGGTTATGTAAACGTTAAAATTAAAATGTTATTGTATACATTTAAAATTATTATTGACAAATTAATATGTTATATGTCATAACTTTATTTGAATTGTAAGTAAAAGATTATGTAGCTTATTTCTAAAGATGTTATTTTATTAATTTTGAAATTTTACAGGTATGGTACGAAAAATATCTCTTACTTTTTTAATTTATTTGTATTTAAAGAACTGTTTCTTACAATAAAATATTCTTTGTTGCCATATAAATAAATCGGTAAATTAAAGTCTTATATCTCGATTTTTAAACATATCTCATGCTATTCTAATAAAGAAATGCGGAACAGTAGTCAGGAATATATTTATTTGTTTTGCTTGCTATTCTAAAATTGCCACCGCAGCTAACGTTCTTAATAAAAATGTAATGTTATTTTAGTTTTATTCCTCTGTATAGAGCAGCAATAAAATAAACTTTTAGTAGAAAGCACTCTATGATTCAGTATATAAGTATATTGTGGTCTTGATTTTTGTTTTCGATTTTAAAGTCGATAGGCACTTTAGTTCTACAATTATTCATATTGCGACGGGAGAGTAATTAAATATAACTGTTTATAATTAATCTATTTCTCCAGCCTCTCGCTAAGTGGAACAGATTGTTACACAAAATCGTGCACGGATAACTTGGAACATATCTGATGTTTCGTAACGTGTTTCAGTAACAAGTATTATTTTATATTCATTTATTTCGAATATTCAAGGAACGATAATATTTAATTTTTGTGAGTAATCATAAATAACATCTACATATTAAGTACATGTATGTATGAACAAACGTCGCACTCATTTCGTTCGGGTGCATCTTTAGGTGCCTGTGTGTTACTCCAGGTCTGTCTGTCTGTATACTATTCATCCAAATCCGCCGAACCGTTTCGGCGTAAAAGAGTATCAGACGCACAAACATATATACAAACATACGGACTTATAAAAAAGTAATCCGATCATAATAACGTAGTACCTATAAGATTGTAATTGAAAAAAAAATGTACATATAGTAGTCCAATTTAAAAAAAAAACAAGTTTAGAAAATATATAAATCTAAGCGATTTGCATTTAACATCCTAATTATTAAAATGTGCGCAATTACCTACACTTGTCTACTTGATTAATCTTTGTTCGTGAATGGAATTAGATTTTAGAGATTCCGGTGTAATCAAACTATCACGCCGAAGGAACGGCAGATGCAATTGTACTAGCTTCATTCATGTCGGAGTAATTGGAATAAAAACATTCAATCTTTAACATAATTGTTTCCACCTATTGTATATTTTATAAAGAGTTCGTATAGAAAATCTTATGTACGAACACTGACTTTCCGCTCCGCTTTTTTTTTGATTGTGCGAGAAATGTATACACTCTTGCCATTTGCCATACTTATTCTAAAAACAAAAGCGTTTGGCGGATTTAAGTATTTGCAATTGTAATTTTATTAGAAAGTTGTTTATATCCGGAAGTAAATTAGATTGTACTGCGTTAGATTTATTTCGCGTTTACTTTAAACCGATTGATATGTTATTTATTTAGGAACAGTCTACATAATTTTGTTAATTATACATTATTTGTTGCCAGGTTGTTTTAATAGCATCATTGGCCGTGGTGGCCTTTGCCAGCGAGGAGAAAGGCACACAAAAGGCAGCTGCCGATGAAAAGAAACAAGACAAACGAGGAGTTTACGACATCGGATCCTATGGAGGCGGTTACCAGGATGGTGGTCACGGTGGATACAGCGGTGGATACAGCGGTGGATATAGCGGTGGTGATAGCGGCCATGGCGGATACAGCAGTGGATTCAGCAGTGGTGATAGCGGTAATGGCGGATACAGCTCTGGTTTAAGCGGTCACGGAGGTCTCAGCTCCGGACAAGGCAGCTACGAAAGCTACGGTAACTCTGGCGGTGAATTCGGTGGAGTATCCAGTGACTCTTGGAAGCCCATCTCCAACGATCATGGCCATCATCACGTCAAAACCATTGAAATCATCAAGAAAGTGCCAGTTCCATACACTGTTGAAAAGCACGTACCTTACACCGTCGAAAAGAAAGTACCCTATGAAGTGAAAGTACCCTATCCCCAGCCCTACACTGTTGAAAAGAAAGTACCAGTCACCGTAAAGGAGTACGTCAAGTACCCCGTACATGTCCCAGAACCTTACGTAGTTGAAAAGAAGGTGCCCTATGAAGTCAAGGTCCATGTCGACAAGCCTTATGAAGTAAAGGTCAAGGTGCCAACTCCCTACACTGTCGAGAAGAAAGTACCTTATGAAGTTAAAGTACCCTATCCCCAGCCCTACACTGTTGAAAAGAAGGTTCCAGTCCCAGTGAAATATGAAGTTAAAGTACCCCAACCTTACGAAGTCATCAAGAAGATCCCCTATGAAGTGAAGGTACCCGTCGACAAACCCTACCACGTATACGTAGATAAACCCTACCCTGTCCCCGTTGAAAAGCCATACCCAGTAACAGTCCACAAGCCCGTGCCCTACGAAGTCAAGGTCCCCGTTGACAGGCCCTACAAAGTCGAAGTTGAGAAGCCTTACCCCGTTAAAGTGAAAGTGCCAGTACCTCAGCCTTATGATGTGTACAAGAAGATCCCTTACACTGTTGAAAAGAAAGTGCCTTATGAAGTCAAGGTACCCATTGACAAGCCCTACCCCGTATACAAAGAGGTCCAAGTACCTTTAGTCAAGGAGGTCCCATACCCCGTAAAGGTTCATGTTCCCATCTACTTCAAGAAGGAACAGGAACATCACGGCTGGCATTAATTTAAACCTAAGATTAGGTTTCACAGCAGTACCTTATAGGCTAAGTTCGAAATGTGATCATTTAGTATTCGTAGTGTTATAATAAATTTAAAATTGAGGTAGCTGATGAACCATTTGTTTTTGGTGTGTTTGAGATGTTTCGCTTCCAATCTTCGACCAGCTGACGCATTGCATTGCAATGCCATTCGAGTATACGATATCTAATGATTGATCTGTTATTACTTGTTTATCTTTTTGTATAATGTGCTTTGTTTTATGAAATTGTGAAAGCTAGCCTTTTGCAATGATCTTATGTTGAGGCTGATAAAAATAAATATGTTATAAAAGAACTGGTGTTTTTTCTTTAAGTAACAAGTTTTGCAATGCTTATACCTGATATATAGTTTGTTTCGGTCAAATAAAATCACATACTAGCACTTTCACGAAATGATTTCCATTAGCGCAATGATATAAGTAAATGTAATGACCATGAACGAAATAATAAAGTAGATCGTTTGAAAGTTCCAATAAATGTTACGTGTGGGTACTAAAAGCTTAAATAATTGATTAAGATGTTTTTAGACAAGCAATTTTTCTTTAAAATATTATAATTTTGTATTAAATATGTTTTATTTTTTAACAAAGGATTTTTTTTATTGAGATTTAGAGATTATTACATCAATGAAAAAGATTTTTTTATTTACTACTTTACTAAATTAAAGAGAAAGATTGCAAATTAAGTTATGAAATTATGTATACTATAATGTCCCGTTGAGCAACGCCTCGGCTAAGCATTATTATAACGGAAATATGTATAAATAGATATGAGATATTACTACCTATACATATAAATACACTCATAGTAAATTGTTCTATATTCATACATATATATATATATATATATATATATATATATATATATATATATATATATATATATATTGTTACAAGTTTCATAATAAAATTTTTAAAACATACATACATTCATACAAACATAAATGTTCAATCAAAAGTCAAATATTAATATTTTTTAGTTGCACTATTATACTATGGCGAGCTAAGCTAGATTTAACCGATATGTAGAAATTAAGACTCTTAGGTCTCCTACATTAGGTTAGTAGGACTGTCAGTTATACTGCGTTATGTTATACTATTATTATATATAAAGATACGACATCGCTGCTTGTGCACTATGGAAGGGTTACATAAGGTGGCGCAATGAATTAATTGGTGCATTACAATCAGATATGAATGGTTTCTGCACTGGTAGCTTCAGCGTAATTCAAGGTGACGCCAACTTGCTTTGTTTTTATTGCATTGAAACTTAATTCTATCATTATATTAATAAGGGAAGCTGTGAAATTGCTGTGCTAACATATAACAGTGTTATTAATGCTTTGAAGTTACTTTTTACAAGATTTTAATTTTTTGTTAGCTTAAATTTTTTTGCGATAGGTACATGCACTTGGTTACGTAAGAATGTTATAATACTAGCTGTGCCCCGTGGTTTCACACGTGTTAAATTTGTTTGATTTTTTACTTTATATTTTTTACAATAATGTATTGAAGTCTGCCCGATCTGTTGACATTTATGATTACTGCTCCGCTTCCTTGGGTATACCTTGACGATATATAGCCTACAGCCTTCCTCAATAAACGGGCTATCTAATGCAAAAAGAATTTTTCAAATCAGATAAGTAGTTCCTGAGATTAGTGCGTTCAAACAAACAAACAAACAAACAAACAAACAAACAAACAAACAAACAAACAAACAATCAAACATACCCTGCCCCTATATAATATTAGTATAGATACAGTTACTAGTTGCCATATTATTAATTTGAAATATTCATCTTATGAGAGACATTTTAAAAAAATATTATTTAAATTAAACCGCATTTACCATATTTTATAATCTTTAAAATCTTTAGTGTCGTTTTTTATCAGATTATAACATTCCATATATTTGTATAGAAGGTTGTATCTTCTACTTTACAGGTAAGTATATAGGCTTAGTACTCCAAACGGTTACTTAAATAATGAAAAGTATATAGTGTAGGTTAACGAGGCTCGTTAGACATTACGAAGATGTAATTTTAAAGTTTGCTATGCAATGCAATAGAGATGTTGCAAGACGTTTGCTCTCCCGTCGTCAGTTCTTGTCAATACGGCAATTTATAAAATAACCATGTCCTAAGACGTATAACTTATAGACGCCATAAATTGTAATAAATGTAAATGGGTATTGCTAGAAAACATTATTTGCATAAGATATTGCTCGTTGAATGCGGAAAAGTATTGAGCATTACTCTCACGTATTATTTTTTTAGATAGTAAATTAATTGGAGATAGCTATATTTTTTGTGAATCTGTAAGAAGTTATTTGCAATGGCAATATAATTTAAATGACTTTTAATTTAAACTTTGTTATGTCAACAGCCGATTATCGTTTCGTATAAAAATTGCGACAACTTTATATCATAAATTGTTAGGTATTCTAAACTTGGGGCTTATTATGCACTCAAGTGTGTCTCTTAGATTCTAACATTAGCCTATGTATTAGTTTAGGACCTACACCTAGGTCATAATATATATGTTTACTTTTTGGCCAATCGTTCCAGCGTGACATTTAACATTTGTAAATAGTAATCCGAGAATTCCTCCCGAACTGTTTTAATGTCAATCTTAATTTTCAGACTTTTAATATTAATAATTATATGTATTTCATGCATATAAGTTTTGTGAGAAACTTTCAAAATTTAATTAAAAACGCACTGCGTTGACATTCGCGTGCTCATTTTCTAGTTGTTGCGAGTGTATAATATGCGGATATCTAAATGAATGTAATTTAAAAAAAAAACCGTCACGCTTGCTTAATTTTTGGAGTCAACTAATACATATTATTAACTTAAGTTATTATAAAAGTTACGAGATGCAAATGAAACATTACCATTTATTGTGATCAAGTGAGGTTTGGCCTGGTTTAGTGTGCAGCAGTAGAATTGTAAACATTGTTACGTCACTACAGTAGTTTCGTTCTGTTAAGATGCGATGTACAGTTGTAATTGTCTTTATGAAATTAGTGAATATAGTGCTAGTGAATATAATATTAATAAATTGTATATATTGCATATATTCAGCCCGTTTAACGTCCTACTGCTAGGCACGGGCCTCCTTTCAATATGAAGGGGATAAGGCGATAGTCCACTACGCTAGTAGACAAGTGCGGGTTGGTGGACTTCACATGTTTTTTGAAAATTTGCTAGGTTTTCTCAGACATGCAGGTTTCCTCACGTACCGTTAGGCAAATAAATGTTGGTATGTGATAATCATGCTAGTAAACATTCGCAAATGAAAATATTAGAGGTGCGAGACCCCGGATTTGAACTCACTTCACTCGGTTTTCCAAACGAGCGCGTAATCTGGGCCATCACTGCGTTATATATTGCTTGAGGCATTTAAAATAAAATATAAAATTTAATATCTATAAAGGTGGTTGTTCTAATTTTATTTACTTATTTATGTGGTTATTTGGTTTAATCGCCAGACATATTGAATTACTCATTTTATGCATTCCTAATGAATTTAACTGCTTAAATAAAAAACCTTGTATTTCCTGCTTACAATTCATATTTTTGCTAAAATAAATATTAAGACTGCTTAATTTATTTCTAACATAATAACATTTTATTAAATAAAAAGTATAGCATTTATATAACCAAACCATAACGCAAAAGCTTAACTTAGAGGTAAAATGACTTGCATCTTGAAATTGCATCAACAATATAAAGGTTAATATCCACAGACCACAGGTGTTTGAAGGCAGACGTGTGTTATTAAATGCAATTTCCACTTTGAGACTTGTTAGATAAGATGCCATTTTACAATCGTTGAAAAATTAAAATCTTAAAATATATGTATATAGGAAAAACATATTATAAACTTTTATTTATCTTTGTCATTTTTTTTATTTCTATTCTTCAATATACATACAAGTATATCGATTATAAAATTGCATTTTGGCTAAGCATTCACTTTCCACGTTTAACAATATCGATCAACATTATTTATACTAATATAATAATATTGTATAATGTATATCAATTATAATAATTAACAACTATTGATTAAACATAATTTTTTTTAATTATCTAACTATATAAATTATATATATAATTATAAATTAAAAATTTAAAAAACCCCCTAGGCAAATTGTCAGTTAACGATTACACTGGCACGCGTGAAGCACTTAATCGAGTAATCAAATGAAAAAAATCGCATCGAAATTGGTCCATCCGTTTACAAGCTACGGTGCCACAGACAGACACACACACACACACAGAGAGACAGACAGACAGACATCGACGTCAAACTTATAACACCCCTCTTTTTACGTCGAGGGTTACTAAAATTGTAACGATTCACAGGCATCGTATAGTCAAAGCTGCTGAGTTACTTGTGTGTAGGGTAGCTAACACTAATAAAAACTTAAAAAATAACGACTTTCAGGCACTAAAATGTAACAAATAACTAAACGGGGGTTTTCATTTAGAACAGATTAGGTATCAGATATTTTCGATGCCCTGGCCTGGCCTGGTTCGAAGACCTGGGAAGTATACTCTTTGAAACAAAAAAAATCCAATTCGGTTCAGGGTCTTCGAATAATCGGTGAATATACCTAAAAAAAGATTACAACGAATTGAGAACCTCCTCCTTTTGGGAAGTCCGTTAAAAAAGGATTTTTTAACGGACTTCCCAAAAGGCCTTCCCTCTTTAGGGACTCTTTAGTTTAAGTGTGATTTTTAATTTTCATCATTTGTGACATCATATATATTTTTAAGTATGTATTTAGACTTTTTTTATAAGTTTTGCAGCATCTTCTTTTAAATAGTTTACCTATGTGATGAAGTGCACTGCTAGTTTATAATAAGATTGAAATAGAAAGGCAGATTTAATGTTTAAAATAAATATAAATTTGCTAAGCTTAACATCTTAAAAGTTAGCGGTATTCCTGAAAT